TCATATATTTACTTATATGTTTAAAATTTTATTTATTTAATTATTTTTAATTAAAGTGGTGAAATTAACAAAATATTGTATATTATTGAAAATATACATTAATTAATAAAAAAAGTTACTTTGATGTCTAACAAAAAAATTATTTTTAATGGCTAGAAACATGACTCAATGTTACAATAAGTGTAAGGTTTTATAAACTAAAAACTAAAAAGGCATAAGAAAACACATAAATTTAGACAAAATGGTCAAAGTTTACCCAACAATGACTTGACAAATTCTGCAATCATGAGGTTATTTGTGAGACCCAATGTTACAACAAGCTACTCCATATACACAGATAACCCATCCTCAACTGCACCTCTACCCGCAACCACTTGAAAACACGATGATATAAAATTTAAAAAGTGTACAATTAATATTATTTTATAAATTATAATAAAAACAGTATTGTTACTGTATTGGATTCAAGGTGTTTTGTAACCAGATTGAGTGGCCAAAATCTATACATCAATCTTCAAAGTGATAAAGTTAGTGACAACAAATTGTTATACACAATATCAACATTCATTCTAATCCTAATCCTTTTTGTAAAAACCTTCAAACTCATCAATCCTTCATACCTCAAAAATCATTCTATACAATATCAATCACAATCGGGTCATACATCCTCGAAAGAACGCAAGATTTCAATGCCTTTTGAAAAATCGAGTTCCTACAACAACAAATTTTGAAGATCGCTGTTAATAAAACTTTTAATATCAAGTTCCTACAGTACAACCATAAATTTTCAAGAGACACAGAAGCTTAATTCAAACCTCTCAACATACAATAATATTTCTTTTGTACAAAACCCCTTCAATTTATCAATTTATTATGCCTTCCACAATATAGTTTTCTTCTGGATTAAATTCGATATCCTTCTGTAAATTTTGATTTTATTTTATTCCAGGTTACAATTGTATATATAATTGTTTTCCTCCATAAAATTATTTTCCTCTAGAATATTCACATTTAGATCGTTTTCTTTCTAATAAAATCATCAAAACACATTCTAGAATATTCAGATTTATAGACGGCAACAAAGTTTCCAATAAAAAAACCAACATAAATATGTATCAATTGGTGAAAATACATACCAAAATTTTCGATGTACAATGCATATTCACAACTAAATGGTAGCCGCATTTCCCCAGTTAATCGACCTTGAAAAAAAAAAGGAAAACCTTAGATACAAATCATACAAAGGTGATGCTAAGATCTGCGAGTTTGAAGTCATACAAATCAACATGCACTTTTGTTTTTGCAAAACTTTATAATTCTTATCAACTGCATGTATCAAATTGCAGTTTTCGGAGCCTCTCTAAATTGAAACATCAGGTGTTGTTATGTGTATCTTTTGCTGAACTTCACATTATCGTCTCCTATGGAGAAATGAAAAACATATTAAGGTCAGAGTTACAAACACCACAATACATAATACAATGATACTGGATAGCTTCATGATGGACTGATGAACATTGATTACCTGCCATTTGAGGGCATATCTACAAACCAAACACAAACAAATGGATTCAATTTTCTCATTAATTGCTGCATATTGTAAATTAGTTAACATATATATTCTTCTAACATAAAGTAAATGGGTTAAATTTCCGGATTGATCTTTGCATAGTTGTATCCCGCAAGTGACCACATAGCGTAAAAACCAATTGAAAACAAAGATATTACTTAATTCAAAACCAAGGGCATCAAATCCGTGGACTTACCTGAGATATTAAAGTGAACGGATGCAAAGCTTGGTATTCTGCAAATGTAGTGACTGTGTAGAAGTGAAATAACAAAGGGAAAAAGTAAAGGAAACCCTAGCTTAGGGTTAAAGCCCTTCCAAAGCAGTAATTGTTGTGGGTGTAGGCGAAATAATGATGGAGGTGTATTTGTAATTGATTGTATCGACGTGAGTGCTGTTTATTGTAGGAAGAGCGGAAGATAGGCTATACAAAGCTCAAACCGCCTGTAGGTAACAGAGTAAACGGGAAAAGAGAGAGACGAACATGTTAAGACGGAAATCTGAAACGGTATAATCAAAATAGTTTACCTAATTAATGGAATCGAACGTTGTTTCTTTCATGTCGGTATTTCGTTTCTCTACAATGAAAAAAGAATTGTTGATTTCACTTAACGCTCTGTGATACCTTCTCCGATTTTCGTTGATTTCACTTAATGTGCCGTTTCTTGCAACGAACCATTGACAGAGAGGAAAGAGGATTAGGGTTTTAGAGAAAATCTACCTTTAAGAATTGGTGATTAAGTTTGGATATGATTATGATTCATGATTTCTTGCTATGGAATTCCTGATTTCTTACTATCGAATTCCAAATTGATTGTCGATAATTTGGTATATCAATTCAAATGTCAATGCATAACTATTAAAGCTGAAGCATGAGGGCATTTGGGGAAATTCATTTTGGTATTTTGAGTGGAAAAAATCGATTTGGGGGGCTTGGAGAATGTCACGTGGCAAAAATCTACTTATTTATTAGATTAGGGGATCTATATATATATATATATATATATATATATATATATATATATATATATATATATATATATGGAGGGTTCAATTGAGAAAAAAAAAGGTTGAAAACGAGGGAATGAATCTGGGTCACTCTTTTCGAATTTGTCGCTTAAGCGTTCCAGCGTACCGGGCCGACGGAAAAGATCATATTCATATATGCATACGTATATTCATATATGAATTCATATATTCATATATGAATAAGTATAACGGAAGTGATTATTCATATACAAATAATACGACGATGGGTGGTGGCGGATGTTGGTGGTGGTGGTGGCAGTGGAGGTTGGTGGAGGTGGTGGTGGTTGGTGGTAGAGGAAGGTGGTGTATTCATATATGAATATACATATATTTATATTCATATATGAATATTACTCAACTTCCGTCGGCCCGGTACGCCGGAGCGTTTTACGGCAAAAATAAATGATTGACTGAGAATGATTCCCCCATTCTCAACCTTTTTTATTTTCTCAATTGAACTTATCTCTCTCTCTCTCTCTCTCTCTCTCTCTCTGTCTATATATATATATATATATATATATATATATATATATATATATAATATATATATATTATATATATCCGGTAAGAAATTTTTTTGGTAGGAAGGTAAGAAGTTTTTTTTCTACATATTTTTTTGACGAACAAAATAAATGAATCACTAGATGATTCATTTGTAAGATGATTGACAAGAAAAAATTCCCAAAAAAACATCTTTATGATTCATTTTTAAGTAAATTAAGAAAAAAATTCATTTTTATGACAATTTTAGTGCATAACAACAAAATCATTGTATAAATGAATCATCGAGATGTTTTTTTGAGAATTTTTTCTTGTGAATCATCTTACAAATGAATCATCTAATGATTCATTTTGTTTGTTCGCGAAAAAAATATGTAGAAAAAAACTTCTTACCTTCCTACCAAAAATTTCTTTCTTATTTGATCTTAACTCCTCTCTCCTCTCTCTCTCTCTCTCTATATATATATATATATATATATATATATATATATATATATATATATATATATATATATATATATATATATAATAGTTTTAAATTGAACATCTGGGGATTTTTGTTCGTTTCTTTCATTTCAAATCTTGATTTTTTTAGTATGAAAATGGTGGTGGTAATGATCAGGACTTGTTTCGGTTTCTTGAAAAACTAATATGTAGTGTGTATGTATGTTTTCTTGAGAGAGAGAGAGAGAGAGAGAAAGAGAGCTCTTACTTTTTTCTTTAAATTATTAAATTTAAAAGAAAATGAAAGAAAAATACAAAATAAATAGACTAAAGGTCGTACAGTCATTTTAATTTTCAGAGGGACCAAATATGCAACGAAAATAGCTTAAAAGAACCACCAATCCAAAAAAAAGTTTGGGTTTAAAACTAAACCCGAGAAAAATACATTGTCCACATCTATACATTGTTAAATGTGGGACACTAATTTTAATTGTATATATATTGCTATAAAAAAATAAAAAAATAGGTGGGTCAAGTGACCTACCAAAGGTTAACATACCCTCGTCACTTTCCACATCTATACTATCTAAATCATACACGTTGTCCATTTCCCTGAAGGTTAAAATCCTAATTTTACTAAGAGTGAAACGAGAGAAGGAAGAGAGGATATGTCGGAGGTTTCTCACTTAATGAGGGTGTTTGTTTTTACCTCAGTCCACATAAACCATTTAATGCCACGTCAGCAAATGCAACAGGGTAAATAAATGTGACTGGATGAAAAATACTAATTTGTTCAATTTACTTGGTTTTCTAGGTTATTTTGTTCAAAAAAATCGGACCTAAATTGAAACTTTTCCTAAAAGTTTATAAGTATTTAATAATAAGTTTTTTTTATCGAATAAAAGAAATGTAGGAGGGCTAATGTACTCTAATAAATGAAAGTTTTTTTGTCACATGTCACACTATCATTCAATTTGTCAAATGTCATTTTGTGGTTATTTTGAATTAATTTCTTTTCCACATGTCATTTTATGGGTTTTCTATTTTAATAAATTCTACATAAAACTTTAATGTAATAATTAAATAAATATAGTAATAAAATGAATATCAAATTCATCAATGGACTTACCTTCTTATTTCAAAAATCCCAAATTAAAGCTCATTAGTTTACTAGGTTATAACCCGTGGACAACACGGATAATAAAATTAAAAATAATTTTATTTAAATTATAACATAATTGTTGAGCAATGATCATAAATAAATTTAATAAGTAATATTAATCGGGGATATATACCAATGAAAATTATGTAAATATTTTTAATAAAAAAATGAGAAAAAAAATTATTTGAACAATTCTTATAAGTGTTTTTATGTATATAATGTTATTATTTAAAAAAATATATATTTTTTTACCAAAATACCCGCCGAAAACTTATCAGTCATCCCTACCCCTTTTGGCTGTAATAGAAACGAAGACCTAGAATTATTCCGCCAGCACTTGGAACATCTCCCCCGTATTCATTTCAGAAAGGGTATGGAAGTTTCTCCATTGCTGTCGATGAAGGCAGATACGAATATACAACCATAGAAGAATTTTGAACTGAAGAGAAACTTATGTTGATTAATATCCGATGTAGAACTCAGAGAATGAAGAAACGAAACATTGGGGGTTGAAGACGGGAAATTTTCGGTAAGAAATTATCTAAATCCTTGTTAATCTCAGTTTTTTTTTAACAGAACATACATTAGTTGGAAGATAATTTTACCTGATTATTTTTGGCAGAAATGTTGTCTTTGAAGATGTTAGTGAAAACTGAAGTGGTTGTAAGGAATAACTCGAAATACTTTAAGACTGGAGACACAATCAGGTACCTTTCAATTTCCTTGAAATTATGACTTTCATACTGTGTGAGTATTTGTTTGAATCAGGTACCTTCCAAATTAGATTGACGTGGTAATTGTACATATATAAGATTAAGATTCCACTTACAAATTTCAGATTTTGGGTGTATAAGAATGCAGTGTATGAAGGAAAAATATTGAAATTGATTAATAACAATTTGTCCTATTATGCTTTTTTAAAATACAAAATGATTTTGACAGAAATGCCCCTGCACTGTTCGCAGAAACCATTTCTGTTATCTTATTATACCACAGGTTGAAAAAGACATATGCATTTGAGTGACCACATTGACTATTTTGAAAAACATTCAACCAAACATGATATTATTAAGATTTGACATGAAATTTGTAAAAAATATTGTGTTTTAGTAGAATGTAATTTCAAGTACAATGCCCATATACATAATGGACAATTATGCCTCTGGCCATAAACAAATGTCGTTCCTAGTTTGATTCCAGTTACATTTGCCCCTACCCTTATTTGGTTAAATGCAAGAGAAAGCAATATATTTTACAGACTAAAAACTGTTTACAACCAAATAGATTAGTTGATAGTTCCAAGAAATGATGATGCTTGAGGTTGAGAAACACAAACATAAAAAGATATTAGTTTAGTCTAATTCATTAAGCTAAGAGGATAAAGCCACTTCATAAATAGAGAAAATAAATTTAAGATAAAAGGACGAAAATGACCTTTACCCAGATTTTCCGTATTGTACATTTTCTTTTGGTTGTAATACACAAATTATAAAAAATAAAATAAAATAATGATGCTCCATGTGGAATGAACAACATGACATAAATGATTATTTGTCAACTTTTATACAAATTACAAATGCAACCGGATATTTGATGCATTTGTAACCAAAACATTAGACAAATCAAAAAATGGCAGTATGAAGAGAAATCACTATAACATTTAACATCATCCGTATATTATGAGTCCTGCATATGACAATATAGGTCAAAATTTGTCATCTTTTGTTAGTAATTCTGAAAAATGTGAATAAATAATAAGGAACTTCAAAAAATTTCATTGATCAAAAAATCTGGTGTGCCTTAGATTAACTTGAATCTGATCTAAATATTCTTTTGGGATGATTACTAAGGCAAGTTATGAGAATTAGATTCATCATTTACATAATTGTAATCTACATCATCTAGAATTTATGATGATTAGGCCTTTAGGGGTTACGTGTATATGGCGACTTCAATCTGAGGGCAAAAATTGTCATACTTTTTTTTAATATGTTAAAATTAGGCCATTTCAGCAGAGATTTACTTAACCAGCCTTATTTAGTTTAATGTCTTTTCTTGTAGCCATTTAACTGAAAACATACAAAATTATATAAATTTGATGAAAAGTATAAATATGATAGAAATTACCTTGTGTAGGTTTTTTTTGGTGGATGAAAACACAGACAGATGAACAGAAACACACATAACAGAGATCGACAACAACACACACTCATACATAGTAAGTGTTAAAGTAAAGTGCTTTAAATCGGATGACTTTGAATGTAAGATGCTACAAAATAGAGTTGTTCATTTTATTTTTGGAAAAAAAAAAGCAATTGATCCTGAACAGGAACAGAAATCGATAATCACACATAACAAGCAAGACACATATGGCGTATACAGATACATATACGGATAACAGGTGGAGAAGAAGAACTGTAAGAGAAGAACAATACTTAGTGTAACAGAATAAGAAGTATAAAGGAGAACGGTTTACCAGGGTTTGCAGAGAAGAAGACGTACAGAGGAACCAAAATTTGAAAAATGCAAAGGTCAGAAAGATTTTTAGATCTTCGATTTATATAAATATGATAATATAGCAAACATTATTTCATTCCTATTATAATCCCTATTATAATGGAGATATAATGGGTAAAAGATATAGAAATTCAAAAAGATTGGTATATTATGGTAACTGAGTTGCTAATTAGTAGGAGTTGATAATTCTATTGTTTATTATGATTATGATTTTAAATTAAATTGATTTGATTGTGATTGTATTTTAATTTCCGTTAAAAATGCATTGGGCGGGAAAAGTTTTGTGAGGAGATGTGTGAAACTGACACGTGGATTGAAGGAGCTTACAGGAGGGACACGTGACGCCTTAGAGATAGGAAGAGAGATTTTGTTTATTTATTTAAATTTAAAATATAAAAAAATTAATTTTAATAATTTATTATTTTTCTTATTTTTTTATAAATCCAAAGTTCTTAAATATTTAAACTTTTATATTTAATTTTTTTTAATTAGCCCATATAATACACCTAACCTAATGGATAAATACATTTTAGTTGATGACCAACCGATGACATGCTAAACGCTAAACATTTCCATTAAAAATCTGACATGTCATCATAATCATAATCATACCGCGTCACCCAGCTGCTGACATGTTACCATCCACGTCAACAAAATAATGCCTAAATCAACCCTTCTAGACCCAGGTAATTTGAAGTGAAAGGACTCGTGATTTAGGAATTTAAACCTGAACTCAATCGTTCGATTGATCTTTTATGTTTATTATTATTATTTCAGCGCTTATTGTTTGATCCGTGTTTGAATTTTGGTGCCTGTCTGTTCATGGCGGCTCGGTTCTTTTCAACGCCTTTCCAACCCTTCGTTTATCAGGTGTGGAAATCAGAATTTCAGTAGGTTTTTTGCAATGTTTTAAAACCCTGGTTTTTAGTTGACCCGGTGTGATGCCCGGTTCACGGGTCAACCGGTTCAACCGGTTGAACCGCCGGGTCAACCCGGTTTATGGTATTTTTCTATTTTTATATATTTTTTACTTTCCTGCATAATGCATAAACATATAAAATCAATAATTTGATGTCCACAAAGTTTAAACATTGAAGAAACCGCAAACGGCTCGTTGTTTTGGCGTTCGCTACTTGTATCCAACTATCCAAACCTTATTAAAACGGGTCAATCCGGTTTTAACCGGTTCAACATAAGCGGTCGAACCGCGGTTTAGGAGAAACCCGGCCGGTTCGATCTGGTCCGTATTTTTACAAAAAACCGTTCTTAATTGACTCGCCTTCTACCCCGGGTCACGGTCCAACCGGTTGAACCGGCCGGGTCAACCCGGGTTTTAAAACATTGGTTTTTTGTGTGTGTATGTTAATGTGATTGTATCTGAACGTGTTTTGATTCAACATTACTATTCTAACCAGACGCGAATTGAAGGTTACATTGAGAAACAGGTTTTTGTGGGTTTTTATGTTTTAAAGTTTTGGTATGGATTGATGATTAGATAAATGGTGTATGATGTGGTAGTTAAGGTGAAGGTTAGGTTAATCAATGTGAAATGTTGTGTAGAGTATAACATTGAGCATTTTATAACATAAACGAGTGATTTGTAGTTAAAGCAAAAGTAGAGTAACTGTTTTAATTAGCTTATTATACTTAAATCTATGATTCTATATATGTTAATCAGTTTATTAGAATTGCTAGTATTCATTGGATTTGTTTGTGATATTTTGTTAGTCATTGGATTTGGGGTTAATGTACAATAATAGAGTCCAGACGATGCTGTTACGCCTTTTCAGATTTTGGGTGGTGAAGCTCAGATAGTTCAGGTATGTTCATTAATGTTAGTTTTGCTTCCTTCCATGTTCATCATCCTGATTTTTCTTGCCAGATTATGTTGAAGCCAGAAGACAAGGTGAGTGCAAAACCAGGTATTTGCTTGCTTGTTGTGCTGAAATAGGCTTATTAGTATTTATTGATGGTAAGTGAGTTATTTACAACAGGCTGCATGTGCTATATGTCTGGCTCCATTCAAATGGAAAATGTTTATGCCCCAGAGAATGAAGCAGGAATGTGGCAATGGGTTTTTGGAAAGAATGCAACTAAAACAATCTTTGTAAACAGTGGGTCAACCGATGGATTTGTTGCCATGGCTGCACCTTCTCTAGGAAGAATTCTCCCAGTTAGTCAATCTGTCAGTGTTAGTTAGTTGCTACATTTGATGCTTGATTCTGATGTATTGTATACTTTCTTTTTAACTCTGTAGATTGACTTGGCAAGATTCGGTGGTGAGATACTATGCCAGGTATGATATTAAATATTAATTCATTCATCATCATCATTGTCTCAGTTTTTGTTATTTTCTGAATCTGTCTGTAGCCAGATGCATTTCTTTGCTCCATTGGTGATGTGAAAGTCAGTAGCAACACATTTGATCAGAGGGGACCTAATCGTAATGTTGTTGAGGTGACATTTTCTTTTTCCAGGTTTTGTCCCATTCCCATAATATATATATATATATAATTTAAAATGTGTTACTTTACAGAGATTGTTGAGACAAAAAGTATCTGGGCAAGGCCTGGCATTCATGGTTGGGGGTGGATCTGGTAATTATGATATTAATTCATGTTGCCTTACATTCTGCTTGATATGGCCTGTGAATGTGTTTATGTTCCTTGTGGTTTTGTAGTTGTGCAGAAAAATCTTGAGGTTGGTGAGATACTTTCAGTGGACATTTGTAGCATTATTGCTCTGTCAACAACGGTGGATGTACAAATCAAATATAATGGTCCAATGAGAAGGGTGGTGTTTGGGGTAATATATTTAAAAAAGAATAAAAAATTAAAAAATTAGAGTAACAGTTGCTTGTTTTTTTGTTAGTTTCTAACAAGTAAAATGGTTGGGCATGCATGCAGCAGGGGGAGAATCAGAATATGGTGACAGCAATGATGAGAGGACCAGGAATTGTGTTTATCCAGAGTATGCCCTTCCCTCGCCTTTCTCAAAGCATTGCTAGGTTAATATATATAGCCCACCCACCCACTCAAGAGTCAAGTCATCACCTTTTACCTTTAAACTTTCACATATCTTCTCTTATTTACAGTTATGGAATGGATGCAGGGTGGTTACATCTCCAAACATGAGGTTGAGGGACAATCCAAGGTTGTTGATGCAGATACTCGTCTTTTCCTTTCTTGCTTATCTTGTGCTCGTGCTATATACAGACTTCTGAATTCTGATATTTGCAACAAAACAAATACACTGTGTGAGCGAGTTGAAAAGATAATTGAAGTTAAATTTGGTTTCTTGCTGATCTGAAAGATGTTATTATAGCCATACATGCTTTGATGTTGATTCCGTGAATTAGAATATCGCTTGATGCTAGAAAAGATTTACATTGATTGGATGAAGGAGGAAGAAAGTGAATGGGTTATGAGCTTTTACAACTGAAAAGTACATACATGCATGGTACCGTATTTGTAAGATTATTTATGTTATGTAATATGTATAACAAATCAAAGGGATAGAGATGGTCTTGATACATATATCCAAATTAAACCAACAAGATATGAGATATCTATCTATCTATCTATTCTAAAATTCTGTAAATTGGTGGTTTTAAGATGTTCAAGTGCTTGTCGGATGGAATCCTCATCTTGGATGGAATATTTCAAGCATATTAGACGCTGAGCCACTGTATATGCCATCTGAATACCTTCATATGCCTCATAGTTCAACTGCTTTCTCTTCCCTTCCTAACCAACCAACCAAAAGTCAGCAAAATTACACATCTCATCATAACCATTTCTAATAAAAATGCTTCCAAATTATTTTTTATTTCATCCTAACCCTCCAAAACTAAGCTTAATTATATAATCCTCCTCTTTCATTTGTTGAAACCAAGGGAGGAAGAGTTTGATTACCTTTTCTGTAATCCTTGAAGTGATATTTTTGGCAGTCTCGATAACTGAAGTTGGTAGCCCTGCTACTCCTGCTAATAGAAGCCCATAATGTGGTACATGGCGCCACCCATCTTTCAGCTCAAACTGTAGTGGAATTCATATCATATCATATCATTATCAACAACATATTAATCTGCTGCTGCTGTTGGTAATACATACATGAAGTTTACCTTGAAATCCAAGCGATTGTTTTTTACTTCAACATTGAAGTGAAGAATCTTGACATTTGGATATATGCTGGCTACTTGTGATAGCTTTTCCATGTGTGTGGCAAATATTGTGTAACTGAAACCCCATCCCCCAATTAACAAGTAAGTGAACGAAAAACCATATAATGATAGCATATGGGATATAGAAATAAAAATAAAATTACGGTTTGAGTGATAAGAGTTGTTCACAGCAGCTCCATGCAATTGCAAAACCATCAGAGGAAGATGTAGCCCTCCCAAGCTCATCCATCACAACAAGACTCCTGTCGAATATATATATATTATATATATATATATATATATATATATATATATATCTATATATATATATATATATATATATATGTATCTGTGGAGTAAATTAACGAAGCCCTGATTGTAAATTGTGTAATATATATGTTACCTTTCAGAGATATTCTGCAAGATAAAAGCTGTCTCTTTCATCTCTGTCATGAACTGCAAAATCATAACTTGTTCAATCATCTACACAACTCAGCTTCTAAAGAGATTTATAAGGTAGGTGTGTGGGTGATTAGAAGATGTTAGGATTTGAGAGGTAGGTTGTTTGATTTGTTAGTTTAGTTGTGTCAAGTGAAGTGATGAGTAGGAAAAGAAAAGAAAAGAAAAGAAAGGCGTACCGTACTGGAATTTGATTCAAGATTATGGAGTGTGCCCATCCTTGTAAAAACACGATCCACCACTCTTAGGGTTGCAAACCGGGCAGGAATGTAACAACCAATTTGAGCAAGGATCACAATCAGACATATTTGCTGAAGGTATGTACTTTTTCCACTCCTGAACCAAAACAACAAACAGCAAACATCTACTATTAATATTATTATCAGTTATGACAGTTGTAGTTGACGACAAATAAATCATTACATGTTGGGCCCCATCAAAATCACCATGTTTGAAGCCTCTGAAAGAAAGATGTTGTTGGGCTGAAATGCAAATTGCAAATTGCAAATGAGAGAGAGAGAGAGAGAGTCAGAAATAAAGCAGCAATTAATGAGAACGTACAACAAAATCAGTGTGCACGCTTTCTAGTATAGGGTGTCTTCCAGCATCAATTGCCAGCGGTCCATTTTCTATCAGTAAAAAAAAAAAAAAAAAACATATTAACAACAGTCATTCTTCCATTCCAATAACAAAAAAATATACACAAATAATTACCAGTGAAATGAGGCCTGGTGTATCGATCTACAGGCTTGGTTGAAATCATGTGAGCAAATGAATTAACAATCATATCCAATAGGCACAGGATCTCAGCAAGCAAGGTCAGCACCGACACATCCTCCCGAATTGCATCCATTAGTGCTGCTAAGGCTTATGCTTATATGCTTTAATGCTAATCAAGTATTCAACATCAAACCAAAAATCTCAAACTACACAATACGATACACTCACCTTCCAAGCAAACTTGTGTATGCAGATAACATTCTTTCGCTGCAGACTTGTTTCTTGCATTTAACTAACCAACCCATTACCCATTTCATTAATGACAATTATTTAGCAGTAAATAAATAAGACTGTTTTACCAAAAATATACTCACAGAAGCAAGATCCAGAGTTGAGCAATGTATACTGTTCCCATGCTTGGCAACCTAAAAATCAGAGGAGAACAAATGGTTAATGGTATTGAAGTATGCACAAGTATCTCCTTTGCTTGGTACCTGAATGAACTTGGTGGGAAGCTTTCCCTGTGTCTGTATGTCCTTGAGAGGAATATTGAAGTAAAAGCCATGCCTATTGTTGAATGGGATTTTCAAATTCGGAAGCTTATAATCTTCACGATACTTATTTGCAAGGTTGTGTATAGCTATAAAGATTATGATTTTATTACTTAGTGATTAAAGACGAGAGCAATATGAGTATAAGGTACTGGTACCTACCTTGGCTGGTGTCACAGAAGGATCTTCGTGCAATATCAAGAAATCCGTCGATCCCAGCCTTCACAGCAAAACACTGCTGTGTCCGCGCAACAAAAGGAACTCTTGCATGAACTACATCCTCATCAATCACCTCCCCGATCCTGACGTATTTTACTACTACTTATCAATTTATGATTTATGATTTATGATGATGTTTGTGTAAAACAAAGCATGATGTTACCTTTTCCTCATACAAGCATATTTCTCGTTTGCACAAACAGATTTGTATATATTTGCAAGAAGAAAGCTGTTTGCATCTTTCAGTACCTAACACCAGTTACAACTTTAAATTCCTCAAATGTTTTCGAGTTTGAGCATACAAGTTAGTTATATATATATATATATATATATATATATATATATATATATATATATACCTTGGAGAGAAATGGCAAGGCATCCAGAGCCGTTTTCAGAATAATAATGTTTCCTATTACAACCTGGCTCTTTCTAGCATTGTCAATGCCCCCCAAGACCTCATTAGTAACTTTCTTCCTCTTGAAGCAGAAGTTACAGAGGACCCTGTCTGAATCAAAACATAAGTACATACATCATGGTAACTAATAATCAATCACCACAGACTAACCAGTTTCTTTTGGAAACTTTTGAAGAGCCTGTGACAGCCCAAAAAACAGCTCTTCATTACTCATTAATTCATCCTGCATCATTTATTTAGTTAATAAATCATCTTCTGAAACCTAACTGCAGATAATGCATACATTTATTGTCAAAAAGAATCACTCACTCACCAGGCAATCAAGTCGAGCTTTGATGGTTTCTATATCTTTCAAAGGTTGCAACAGATTGGCACGAAGAAGTCTAGTCCTGCAACAACCACAACAAAATAAACACAATTATCTTCCAGTAATATGCCGCCATCAATGGCAATGGCAATGGCAATGGCATACCCTCCAGCAGTTCTTGTCGACTTGAGAGTCTGGAATAAACTTCTCTTTTTGTTGCTTGTGCCCAAAAGTGTAGAATGCAGTGGCTCTATAATCTCCAGGTTATGTACACTATCAAGCAGATACTTAGTTATAACAAATAATAACCTCATTCTACTTCCATAATCATCCCATCAGGATGATTTATAACATACTCTAAAAGGTTAAAAAAACCTACCTCGTTGCATCAATATTCATATGATCAAATGATCCGTTGAAAGTCACCTGAGAGGTGAAAAAAAAATGGAAGGAAAGAAGAATCAGTGGAAGAGTTTTGACCTGTAATAAGTCGAGACAAATACTGGAAGGTAAATAGGAACTAGCTCACAACAGAACAGCTTCCTCTGTTAAAAGTAGATGTGAGAAGAAATAGAGACTTACTAACAATGAATGATTTGTAATGATGATTCCTTTCTCTGCTTCAATCCTGTGTTTGACAAAGCAGTTAACAAATTCTTATTTGGTAGCATCTCAAATATTTTGGAGGATTAGAATCCCATCTCTTGTCACCAAAAAAGAATGAATCATGTATCAGATAAATGTAATTAAATTTCAATAAACAAATGGTACCACTTGATAGTTGCTGCAGCAGCAGCCAAGCAGAGATAATATTGCTTGTAATAAGTATCCAGACCAAGTGCAGAAGGTTCTTTAGCAGCTAAACTTTTTACCAGCACAGCTCCCTTCAAAAATACCCATTATAGCATATTTCAAACTACTCGTATTAATGAATGAGAAACAACTGAATACCTTTGTATCATCAAAGCAACCACGAACCATAGTGACCTGCAAATGTTAGCCCATACTTAGAGTCTAACTATAAATCAGAAATAGAGTAGAAGATACTACCTTTCGAATTGAGGAATAGAATTTATCAACTAATTCTGATACCCCAACCATGCCATCAGGTGCTAGCTTGTTAGGGGGGACAATAATTGCCATTGGATCATAGAAATGCAGCAGTGTCTTCGTGTTTTGATATGAGCTGCTAGTTTCAATGTATTCAGAAAGGTGAAGTGAAGCCGACCTCAAGTCAAAAGCAGCCACTCCAACCTGATGATAAGATGGATACCTCCAGTTAGGATTTGGAATAACAAAAGGCAAACAATCATCATCAGATCAGCTACCTAAATCCGAATCTCATAGCAGATCACAGAATTCTGAAAAGGATGGTTCCAAGGTGTATTATCAGTAATAAAATACAAGATTTCCAACAGTATATGAGCAAAAACTGCATGGCCACGCAGAAAATATGTGTCTTTCATGTCTTGATCCATCTAAATCCCCAAACGTCCATGTTTGTAACAGGTTTGTTTATATGAATCAGGTAACGAAAACTATGATCATCCGAGTCAGGAGAGAGATTGGATTTGGAATCTATCCTTCACACATTCTGAAGTCTTTTAAGTAACTTAAATAAGCCGATCATTGTATCTCCTTCCCTCCACCCTTTCAATTCTTAATCCAAAAACCACAATTGCCTCTAAATGAGGCCTACACCAAATGCAAAAGTAAAAGGAAAAAAATCTTCATCTCTTACAATTGAAACAACAATAATCATTTTTTTTCAGTTGCAATGTTGATCTAAGAAGCAAGCACGAATTCGTCCTACAATGAAAAAAATAGGAATGAACAAGAAAAGAATAATAATTGCTCTTAACACCCAGCGATATGTTTTAGGAATTGAGTGACAATTAACGAATAACGATAACTTCATCATATATCATGCCCTAATCCCAATGCAGAACCAAGTACGTATACATACAAATATCTATATATACAGATTCACAGACACAAAACACATATATAGGGAATGAGAGCTAAGCAGCGATACCTCCTTCGCTCGATTCTCTATGAGTCCAATCACGAAGCTTGATCGCTCTCCCGTGTCATCTTCCATTTCCACTCAAATGGTCACTTCTCTGAAAGAAAACCCCAACCGTAAAAGTAACTTCGATATTATTTTTGTTTTCTGAATGCGCGCCTATTTTAAGCGTCGGAGGAGGCTGTAATTACTTGTATCTACATCGAAGGACGATGCATTAATAGCGTGTACCTCGATGTTTGACTTATAGATTCAAAGGTTCCTGCTCAAAAGGAAAAAACGGAAACAATACCTTGACCGCATTTCAATGGTAGTTCAAAATTTTACCAAATATCAAATACTGTTCGTTACATAATCTCACTTTTTATCTTTTAATTATATACATATATTTTTTTATAGTTTTTATTTTTTAATTTATTTATGTTATATCATTTTTATCTTCTAAGAGAAAAATGACCATAATAACCATTTTTTCCAAGTTCTTACAACAAAATAGTCACAAAAAATAAAAAATATCAAATTTAATTTTCATAGACCACCATTTGCAAAAATGTAGATGACCTGTAATTTTTTTTCTTCAGCTCTTTGTAAGTTACCATTGTGATTGGAAGAACCCCAAATGGTATATGATGATTATTATTCGGTTTGTACACGAAAGCAAAATGTTTTTTTAGACTTTTGTAAATTGTAGGGTACCTTTTGTGATTGAGATACCTCAAATGGTATGATGATAGTTATTAGGGGTGAGCAAACCCAAACCAAGAAACTGAGAAACCGACTAAAACCGACGAAACCGAAACCGAGAAAACCGAAACCGAAGCAAAACCGACGGTTAGAGTTTGAATTTTTTTAAAACCGAAAAATCAGGCTCGGTTTCGGTTTTTACACAGAAACCGACCCATCCAACCCGAGAAACCGACCCATACTTAAAACCAACAAACCGCCCAAGAAACGACTCATCCAACCCGAGAAACCGACCCATACTTGATTGTGTTTTGGTTGTAATATACTATTTTGGCCTTTGGTTGTAACTTGTAATAAATTATTTGTTGTAAGACTCGTGTCTTTTAAAGTATTTAACTTAAATTTGGTCTTTTTTAAAGTATTTAACTTGTTGCTTCATTTATGGAACATGGGTTAAAACCCAAAACCCATGGGTTTAAAACCCAGAACCCGTAAGTGTATGGGTTGAACCCAAGAAACCGAAAAACCGACCTCAGAACCCCAGAAACCATCCTACTAGGTTCTGAAAACCAGAAACTAACCATTTATGGGTTGAGTTGGGTTTGGGTCCAAAACCGACTCATGCACAGCCCTAATAGTTATGAAGTTTATATGCGAAAACTATGGAGTTTTTTTTTCATAATTTTCACCGAATAGCCTACTTTGAAATTACATATGTATTATTCCCAACAACCAAATTATGAGTATAATATGTTCATGGAAATCTCTTGTTACAAAAGACATAATAAAATACAACTCAAGTGGAGTTCGTATACAAAATTTATAAATGATCAAATTTATTTTTTTTTTTCATATTTTTCACCAACTAGCCTATTTTAGAGAGCTAAAGAACATATGACTTCTTTGACATCTAAATTTTGAGTGTAATATGTCCATTGAGCTCTTGTTATGAAGAAAGCAATAAAAAAATCAGCTTAAAAAATCGTATAAAAAAAGTTATGAATGTTTGAATTTGCAAGAAAGAAAACTTTTTTTGCAGGTAACTACGCAAAATATATATTTTCGCATGTAGCCCACATGCGAAAAGTCAAAAAATTGTGATTATTTTGGGTATTTTTTCTTGGCTATTTTATGGAAACCTTTGGAAAAAAAACTATTATTGTCATTTTCTCTTTAATTAAATCAATATAGTTATAATATATATTAAAAACAAAGTTCTTATGGATAGTGAATTGATTTTAGAGTTTTGTCACCCTAGTTTTATATTTTGGTGGCATAGGCCCATCATACTCAGCTTGTACGCTTGGCGTACACGAGCATTGACCAAAACACGGGCTGGTTGACCTTGTACGCGCGGCGTACCTGGGTTACACGCAGCGTACGCGACTCACCCAGATTCCTTCTTATTAAGAGCTTAATCCTTAAGCTCTTTTCTCCAAATTCCAGATCTAATCCTAAACTAACGTCCTTAACCATAAAGTTTCCAACTTTATGGTCTTGCATGGTTATTAAGTGCCCAACAACAAAAACCCTAACTCCTTAACTCATTAAGACACTGAAACTCATGCATAGAGGGAAACTAATAATCAAGATTGCATTTTTATGACCTTAGAAACTCCAAAACGTCTGGAAGGACAATCTATTTGGGTCTAGAACATGTCATACTCAAGAGCATCATTGATGGAGACAAAAGCTCGTAATAACATCATACAAGATAGATCTAATCAAATAAGCCTCAAGGTATGAACTTTATACCTTCTAGAGATGTATGATGGTGCAAAACTTCCAGATCCAAGGTTTTTCTAAGCTTCTAAGTTGTTCTTGTTGGGTTTTTAGCACTACACATTCCTATCGTGTACATGCAACCCTAATGCTTTGGATCTAGGTTTTTCTCAAATTATACATGCAATATTAAACATCCAAAGCATGAACCCTAACTAGCATACAATTTTCGAGATTTATAACATAAAACAAAGTTAGATGAATACCTTTTCTTGTAGCTTGTAGATCTTGACCTTCAAGAACTTAGTGCCTCAAGTGTTGCACCTCTAATGAGTCACAAACACCAAGTAGCAATTGGAGGAAGGAAGAGGCTCTAAAATCGGCTAGATTATTCTCTAGGGAACAACTGGCGGATTTCAGGGATCCAGGGGGTTCCTTATATAGCTGAGCTGGTAGGGTTTCAGGTAAAACCCTAATGTGACTACTTATGCCTTAAGCAGCCCAGTATGTGACATCCCCATTTTTACGGCCAGAAAATACCGATTTTGTTTATGCTTTTTAATAAAAATCAGAGTAACTTCTTAAGAAAAGTATTGCGGAATTTGTTCCCAAAACAAAATATGATATAAATTTATCAAAACATTTCCTAAAGAAATGTATTTTCATTACATTAAAAAAAACTTGGGATGTCAATCATTGATACAGACCATAAGCATAAACCAAAAAGAATTAAACATCTTAGGCCACAAAACATAATCTGGCCTCAAATTCCATAATCTCTTGTCAAGTCATCCAACTAGGCTTTTGCCACTACATGTAATACAAGAAACTAAGTGGGTCAGGCTGGGGAGCCTGGTGAGCATATAGGGTTTTCAACCCACAATAACAAGTTCATTATTTATTTTCATCAAATTACTAACCCGATTACCCGTTCCCGTTATCCTCACTTCACATCCCTGAAGCATCTATTATAAGGGACCTATTCTAAGGAATTTCATCGGGATGGGCACTACTGCTAAGGGGATTCCTCAACTATATGTGTCCGTAAGGCAACCATGGGGGGAGGGGATGGAGTACATCTTCAAAAACACCTACAGGTTGCGAGCCTGCTAGCATTCCACTGGACTGCTTAGAAAAGTTTGTGGTCGTCATCTATACTCCGCTAGACGACTGGATCATCTTAAACATCGTAAATATCGAGGCCTCTCATCATTTTAACACACATCATCTATTTCATCTACCCATTGTTCTACCCAACATATTTGTAGATACAAAATACATACATGGTCCAGATCTGTAAAACAAAGCTTACATCTTTCATCCAACATACTTTCAAAGTATAAAATATTTACACAATCTAGATATGAAAAATAATGTTTACATCTTTCATCCAGCATGACTTTCAAAGCATAAAATATCTATACGGTCTAGATTTGAAGAAAAAGTTCATATCTGAAGGAAAGAAGTTCAGATCGTTCATCCAACATAGATCTCAAGGTATACAGTTTAGATATGAAGAAGAAGTTTAGATCTGAGATGAGAAAGTGTAGATCTGAAGGAAAAAGTTTCAGATCTGAAAGAAAGAGGTATAGATCTTTCATTCAAAAAACATCTCATGTAAACAGATAACATATTTATACACATAGCCTTCACCGACCGAACCTCAGTAGCTCGCACGGCGGCAGGGGCAGATCCCTGCGGTGCTCCCTGTGCTGTCCCCCGCAGCTGCGGACACTCGGCCTTCCGATGGCTCGTATGGTTGCAATGGAAACAAACCATGAACCCCTTAGGGCAATCATTGGCTATATGCCCCTCCTTGCCACATTTGTAGCAAGCACCCGATCGACAAACCCCGTCATGTCCCTTGCCGCACTTTCCGCAAGTGCAACCCTTCTGGCCTCCAGATCTAGAATCGGCGGGCTTTGCCCGCTTGGCTGCTGGCTGAGACTGTGCCGGCCGCCGATCCATCCCCTGAGACTCGGCCTCCTCCCTGGCCTGAGTCTCCAACTCAATCTCCCTCTTCCGGGCATTTGCCTGGAGCTCAGCAAATGTCTGGTAAGTCGAGTTCGACACGAACTCCCGAATATCCCTCCTCAAAATGCCCAAATACCGGCTCATGCGTGCCTGCTCAGTAGACACCTGCTCAGGGTAGAACATCGCCCTCTTATGAAACTTCCTGGTAACCACAGTAACAGAATCAGTACCCTGCTTGAGGGTCAAGAACTCCTGAACCAACCGTTCCCTCTCCACTGGGGGAACATGCTCGTCTCTGAACATGGTGGTGAACCTGATGGGTTTTGAGCATTCTAACACTCCTAAGTGTACATGCAACCCTAAATACCTTGGATCTATGTTTTCTCTATTATACATGCAAATATGATTATCCAAGGTATTATCCTAACTAGCATACCAAAACATTGATACTAGGATACTAAAATAGATAGAATACATACCTTGTTGTTGTTGCTTGACTCCATGAAGCTTGAGAGCCTAGTGCCCCAAGTGTGACACCTCAAATGGTTCACACAACATCATGAACTCTTGGAATAACCATGAGAAGAAGACATACATGTTCAAATCGGCTAGCCCTCAAAATATGTATCACTAGTGCCAATTTCTTGAACTAAAGGGGTTCTTATATAGTGTGGCTATTAGGGTTACACCATGTAACTCATGACTTTACCCATTCCTTATGCTCCATGGGTTTTAACCTCCATGGAGTATCCATGGATCACCACATGGGTTAAACCCAACATAAAGGAATCTTGGATCATAAGCCCACATATATAAGAATGAATGATTTACACAATCAATCCCCATATATTTAATTAGTCTCTTTTTGA